AAAATATAGACTCATACATACATGGATCTTTATACATTAATACATAAAATGTTGGTATGTGAACAATTGAAATTCCAAGACATTAAAAATAAAATTTGTGCTTGAAAATGTGTGTGTGTGTGTGAGTGTGTGTGTGGAGTATGGGTGTGTTTAATAAGTTGAAAAACACAGGAGAGTAAAAAGGGTCCAAGACATCCTAGACTTTCTGCTTCAGTAGACAAAGAATGGAGGAACTGTGGAAACTACACTTAGATGGCACTACTTGAGAGGCTCAGGACACAAAGGCACAGTGTTCAAGCAAGCCAGACCTTGAAAGAAAACTAGAGGTGTGTGTAGCACAGGGCAAATATTAATTTAAGACTTACAGGAAGCAAGACAAAGTGTGTAAGATGTATTGAATTAGAGGAAGATATTGAATGAGTGCATGCATGTATTTCTGTGTGTTCAAGTATGCATGTGTGTGTGTGTGTGTGTGTGTGTGTGTGCATTTAAGTTTTTAAGACAAGGGTGTTAAGCAGGGCTGATTAGCACAAGCCTGTTATCCCAGCAGTAGGGAGGAAATGACTGGAGGATCAATGTGATTGTGGACACCATGGACTATACAGCAAATTCCAGGACAGGCTCCAAATCCACATAGTGACATCCTGTCTCTGGAAACCAAATATACAACTGAAATAACATGAAATGAAATCACAGCGAGTAAAAAGGTTCAAGGCCAACAAGATATTACAGCTCTTAGGGAAAGAGCAGACCATGGTGGAACCCACACTTTGATCCAAATGCTGGAGAAGCCACCAGGTTCAAGCTCATGGTGTTGCAGAAATGTAAGTCCAGAGAGAAAACCTGAGGTGTGCTTATTGGCTTATTTAGACAACAAATTGGGATCACAAGAAGGAAGTGAAGGAGAGTGAGCTGTACCAAGAGAAGCCAAGAGGACCAAACTTCATTTGTGTGTGTGGCAGTGGGGTCAGGTGGGTGTTTGTTTGAGTGTTAGTGTGTTTGTCTGTTGGGTGTGTGTATGTGTCTGTGTGTGTGTGTGAGAGAGAGAGAGAGAGAGAGAGAGAGAGAGAGGCAGAGAGAGAGAGAGAGAGAGAGAGAGAGAGAGAGAGAGAGAGAGAGAGAGAGAGAGAGAGAAAGAGAGTACATACATAGCCACAGAGAGTGGAAAAAAGAGAGAGGGGAGACATAGAGAGATACAAGAGAGAGGGAGAGGGGGAGGGATGAAGGGAGCAAGGGACACAGGGAGGGAGAAAAAAGAAAGTGGATGTAATCAGAGGATATTCTTGGAAATAAACAACCAATGTGCCAAAGAGGAAAACCCCAAGGATAATCGCAGGCCCGCTTATTTGCATAGGGTTCTTTGTAAGAGAATGATGCCTAGGTACAACTTGTGGGTTGTGTGAATACCAGGGAGGAGCTGGGGCAAGGGTGCTAAGTCCTGCAAACCCACCCAGGAGAAGCTCTTGACTTAATGATGCTCATTTGATTAGCCTTGCTCGCCCTGTGACATCTGCACAATTTGTGGAAGGAGCAGGGATTCAATCCCTTTCATCTTCATGCTATGTGAGCATGTAAAATACATCCAACCTACCTCTAGACAGGATGTCCCACACACAAATACACATGTACATACACATACACGCTCACTCACACACACACAACACACACACACACACACACACACACAGGGGCGTCTGCGTGCTCATGCTCGCAGCCTGGCACAGTGGTGAGCTCAGTATCCCCAGAGGGACTCATCTTTCACCGGGGCCACTTGTAAGGGAGGCTATGGTCTGGCAGCCATAGGGCTCTTTTGTAGGAGGAGAGGATCATGATAGGTGGTGTTGGGATGTGGAAGGGGGGCTGGGTATTCTGGAGTGGGAAATTGGGCGTGGCTGAGAGAGCTGTAGGTCCTGATGGGCGGGCCCAGGAAAAGTCACCTGGGATGTTAATTGGAAGGCATGGATCCAGCCAGGGCCTTTAAGACAAGGTGAGGCAAAGAGAGCCAGCTGAGGCTTAGGCCAGCCCAGCAGCTCAGTCCTCTGTTTCTGTCCTAGGTCAGTGGTCTAGCCCAGTCAACCCTGCTGCTTTTCGAGTGCCCCTTCAGGTCTTCGACAGTGGAGATGGAGGCCGCCTGCCACTCCAAAGACCTGCAGAAGCTGCACGAGCGCCAGTGCACGGAGACAGAGCCCAGGCAGCTCTACAAAACCCTGAAGAAACTCTCTTCGCAGCCCATGTTGGGCGACATCCTTGAGGAGATTGGCTTCAGGCAGACCATCAAGCTCTTGAGGAAACAGCAGCTCCTGGTCCCCTTCGCCAAGGCCTTAGCCTCCCAGTAGTAAGAGGGGTGCCCGATCGAGCCCCGGCCTGAGCCCGGGCCACAAGACTTTGCTTTCCAGAAGAGCCCGAGGAGAGAACCTCGCAGAGACTCTGCAGAAGACCAGCCGCCTGAGCCTGCTTCCCCGGAACAGAGAGGAGATGGGAGAGAGCTTTTCGAGGTGAGCAGTAGCAGCTCAGGGCGTTATTCTTCCTTTCCGAGTGAAATAATTTCAGTGTTAAGGTGAGATGTTTTTTTGCCTCTTGATGCTTTTAAATAAAAAAATAGTCTTATTCTCACACAAGATAGAAAAAAATTGCAGCGCAGATAAATGCATCTTTCATTGCACTAATTGAACGCCCCACCTATAATAAAATTTCCATGATCTCTAGTTATACACAGACAAGTTTAACACAAATGGTTCTATTTACATTGACTTTTGAATGACAACTACCCTGTTCCTGTGAAGCTACAGCTGACAGAAAGTAGAGAAAATATTAAGGAAATTTTACTTACATTGACTTATTTCCTTAATACAAGTAGAAGAGATGGTATTTTTCTCATTCCTGTTATTACTTTTTTTTAAATAGGTTTGGAACACTTGAACCAATGGGCCATTTTCAGTCACTAACTCTCTGCATCAGCCTGGTATAAATTGTATTGTTCCCAAGCCACATAGTTCTCACAATCGATCCCCATTCCCTTAGATCAGCCTCAAGCCTGTGTGATGTTGATATCAACCTTTAAAGCTGATTGAACAGCCATTGCTTTTAGGTTGCAAAGCAAAGCCCATACAGGACCAATTCCAAACAGAAAGGAAGCCAAAATAATAAGAATTTCTTCTAACATGCATTGTGATTAAAACATGGACTTTAGATTGGAAATATTCTATTTCAAAAACTTTAAGGGTCCTTCTGCTCCTTGAATTGTGGTTGAACCAAAATCTCATTGACTTCCATCCTTTCATTTGTTTGTTTGTTTCGTGAAACAGGACCTTTCTATATAGATCAGGCTTACCTCGAACTAGCAGTGATGCTCTTGCCTCATCCTCTCAAGGGTTGAAAGTGTAGGTATGTGTCACCACAACCAGAACACTTGACAGAATCCTTGATCTAATTTGTTTCTAGATATTTGCTTTGTTTCCTTGGTTACCAATAAGTTTCTCATTCAAAATAAATTTGGTCAGCAGGTGGGGATGCTGGTGAGATAGTAGTTCCCTGGGTAAAGTGCAATGCAAGTCTGCCATGCAAGTCTGAGGATGTGAGTTCAATCCCTAGAACCCATGTAAAGGTGAAAGGAGAAAAGTGACTCCACAACATTGTTCTCTGACCTCCACATATGTACCATGACACGTGGGTACCCACCACATATGTGCCATGACATGTGGATTCCCGGGCTCATTAAGCTTGACAGCAAGCACTGTCTCTCCCCAGAATCAATACAAACACACTAACACTCAAACAAACACCCACCTGACCCCACTGCCACACACACAAACAGAAGTTTGGTCCTCTTGGCTTCTCTTGGTACAGCTCACTCCCCTTCACTTCCTTCTTGTGATCCCAATTTGTTGTCTAAATAAGCCAATAAGCACACCTCAGGTTTTCTCTCTGGACTTACATTTCTGCAACACCATGAGCTTGAACCTGGTGGCTTCTCCAGCATTTGGATCAAAGTGTGGGTTCCACCATGATCTGCTCTTTCCCTAAGAGCTGTAATATCTTGTTGGCCTTGAACCTTTTTACTCGCTGTGATTTCATTTCATGTTATTTCAGTTGTATATTTGGTTTCTAGAAACAGGATTTCACTATGTAGATTTGGAGCCTGTCCTGGAATTTGCTGTATAGTCCATGGTGTCCAGGATCACATTGATCCTCCTGTCTTTTCCTCCCATGTTCTGGAATAACTTGTGTTTGCTTATCATCCCCGCTTAACATTCTTCTCTTATTAATTAACTACACACACACACATATGCACACTCCATGTCTTCCTTTAATTCAGTGTATCTTACACAGTTTCATTTGGTTCCTGAAAATCTTAATAATTGCTCAGTGGTACACACACCTCTAGTTTTCCTTCTAATTTTTGCTTGCTTGAACACTGTACCCTGGAGTTCAGAGCCTCTCAAGAATTGGGAACTATGTGTGGTTTCCACAGTTCCTCTTATCTTTTTCTAATTAATTAGAGTGCTCTGGATTCTTGGACTGTTTATTCCTTCTGTGTTTCTCTAATTTAATTAAACACACACATATTTTAAGCAATTTTTTTCTTTTATTGCCTTGGATGTTTAAATATTTATGTATGACCTGTTTATTCATGAATGTATTAAAATTTAAGTATCAATTTTTCTATTTTTTAATCTACAGTTTTGCATGTATACTTATCTACATACCATGTCTTTATTTATGCATCTTTGTAGACCTTCAGGTCTCTCTCTAAATACTTGCATGCATCTAAAATATTGATTATATATGTATACATATATATATATGTATATATATGTATGTCTAGGTATCCACACAGCCGAATAGGAAAACATTTTTTCCATAAAATGCATCGTTCAGGTGCTGTAGCTCTGTTGGTGTTTATGCAAAACCCTCTCTTGTATCTTTTGTGTGCCCTTTCAGTTCAGGAATCTTAATGGTGCTCTGGATCCCAGTGCATAGAGCACTCAGTGTCTTTTGGTTCACTTCCTAGCCCACCTGTTCTTGTAATCCTTGAGGGCCTTGGCCATGAGCGGGGCGGGTTTCTTAGCCAGGGTCTTGTGGCTGCCGCCCAAGGGCGGGCGGGGAGCCCTGCGGAGAAGGCCAGGACCAGAGGCTTCGCGGAGGCTGTGCACATTTTCGGGGGAGGCCTCCCCTCCGGGTCCCGAGTCTGCATGCTGGCCTGGGCTTGGGGCCTGGGCCTGGAAGGAGATCATCTTAGTTTGTCGGCCTTGAGGCCTCTTGGCTTGTGAGTTTAGAATGCGGGCTCTCAGGGATTGCAACTTCAGGTCCAGGGACTCCTGCTGCCTGAGGTGTGCCTGGGTCTCAGTCTGGGTCCGCCTGTGAGTTTGCTTATCAGTGTGGGTCTGGGTCCCGGAATCCCCCTCTTGCTGACTCCAGAGCTGGGCGTCCTCCCGAGGAGGAGCGGGTTGTCCGTGAGTTTCCCACCAAGACTGTGGCTTAGCAAGGCGTCCTTGGTACGAGTTCTGTTGGAGAGGTCTCCCAGGTCTGCGAGGCGAATACACAGGCGTTTTCGAGCTGCTCCTCCAAGCCCATGGTGCTACTTCTTGCTCATCGGTGAAGGAAGGGTGCTCGGGTCCCTCCTGTGGGAAGCAGTCTTGTAGGGTGGAGGTGACCTCTGGAAATGGACTGGCGGCCAGGAGGAGATTCAGATCCTTGCAGCTTTGAGCCTTGCTTTGAGGCACCATTGCTGCTGCTGGGCACTGGGTGTGAGCTTCGCAGGGGCCGGTCCTCTTCCTTTTGCGGGGAGGCTGTGTGGGGGAGGAAGACAGAGAGCTGTCATAGTTGAGGCAATCCTCAAAAGACCCTGGAGTAAATTCTCCCTGTTTATATATGCCAGTAGACGTTGCTCTCAGGGCAGTCAGTTGCTGTTGCTTCGCTGGCTCAATCTTTGGCTTGCTGGAGAGTGGCTTTATCCCTTGTTGCTGTTGGGCCTCTTCTATAGTTCCCTGTTTCTTGTGTACCCTCACCTGCCTCTCTGAATCTAGCTGCATTTCCACGATGGACCTTCTTTTCCTTCTTCTTGCTGGTTCCATGCTTGGCCTGGGAGTTGTGATTTGGTTGTAGCCTGTGCTTTTCCTGTGAGTTGGGCTATGCTTTTGGCGGCTACTACTGTTTTTGAAGACCTCTTTCCCATGTTTTCTGTGTCCTCGGGAAGCAGGCTTCTGTGGCTTGTCTTCTGAATTGTTTCTGTGATGATTTGTCATTGGTCTCATTTGCAAGGCAAAGTCTCGTGGCCTAGAGGTCAGAAATACTTAGACATTATAATTGTTTCATTTTATTCTGTGCATAGTTTTATTATACTGCAATGAATTAAAAGTATAGGTTGTTGTCATTTTTGAGAGAGTGCAGTTTTCTTCTCTAGATGGTTTGGCTAAATAACTAATCAGTAATCTTTCACTATGTTTATAATTCTGACTCCTCGTTTACTTAATTACTGAGCTTTTATTTTTAATTGCTTTTAAGAAATATTAGAATCCAAATCAAGTTCAGAAAGGGGATGGAGTGGATCTAAGGAAGAGTGGAGTGGTGGGGGCATCTAGCAGGTGGAGATTTAGATGAAACTGTGATTGTGTAATTTTATATGACAGCAGAATCTATTTTCAATAAAAGGAAGTAAAATGGCATAATAAATATAATGGCTAGATAATCTGTAATAACATTTGATAAAGACTTACAATTCATAGCTGTTTGGTCCTTGTCTTTGTCACTGTGTGTATGTGTTTGTGTCTGTTTGTCTGTGTCTGTGTCCTATGTATCTGTGTGTGTGGAGGGGTTGCCAATTTATCCGTGAATAAATTCTTGTTCTTCTGTGATGTTAAACTAGGCTCTTGAATGACTTACAAAGAGATGGACTGTTGGATTACCTTATTTTTCCCTTTATAATTTTGTTAGTAGATCATTTGTAGCATCCATATATTTGATCAATATTTTTATAGCCCGAACATGAAGAAGAGATGTATAAAGCTTCTCCTTTCTCCCCTGTTACTAAAGTTCTAGAATTAACTTCCTAGCAACATGTGGATGAGTTCCACACAAGTCTCTATGTTTCTTTTTCATTGAAAACATGGCCCCACAGCTTCCATCAATGTCTGTTTTTTCCTCCTAAAAAATGTATGACAGTAATTAATGAGCATCATTATTTTGATTTACTTACCGCTGATTTATATGATTCTTCCTTTCAGGATAAATTATACTTAGAAGGTCTGAGAAAATGTAGAAGTTGCTATATTATTTACCTAAATTGAACATAATACACAAAGTATATTTAATTATATATAGAGAAAGAGAACTTATTTTTAAATTATATATAAACATTTTATGGTAATGTAATTACTCTAAGATGAATACTGGGTTTTGGGTGTTCTGTCAAGTTTGCTTCTTGAAACACAGAGATATGTTAGAAAGATAAAGAAAAGATGTAGTTGCTATGCATAATGAGTCACTTTCCTCATAGAATGATGTAAATGGAGTGAACTGAAAGTGTCTGTCTCTCAGATACCTCTTTAGCCCCTATATTGACATGTATACCCATACACCAGAGTTTTTCAGGGTTAATATGGTAAGCCTCTCTGTAGTGATAATTCAGAGACTCATGATTCACAAAGATGCAGAGAATAAATGATGGTTGAGGTCCCAGGCCTACAAAAGACATTTACACCACTCCTTCTAAATCTCAAGAAATATTAAAGGGGTCAGAAAAATGCAACAGCTGGAAGACAGGGAGAGGGCACAGCACAACTATTGGAATAATAAACTAACAACAATGGCTACTTGGAGTTCACATTCAGAAGGCTGGTTTTTGTGGCACAATAAACAATAGAAAAGAGAAAGATATTGGGATTCAAGCTTCCAGTTTAATATTAGAAAAGCAAAGCAGACAAGCCAGTACATCTTACCCTTGTCCAGCTGAAATGGCAGTCCTACTTCCACGAATCCTCAGAAACAAAAGCTCTCAGTGCCTGTTTCCCCCTCCTTTTATTCCTCTCTCCACCCAGCCATATCCTCCTGTCTCCACCTTCCTAGTGCTGGTATTAAAGGTGTGTGGTCCCTAGTGCTGGGATTAAAGGCGTATGGTCCCTAGATCTGGGATTAAAGGAGTGAGCTCTGTTATTGCTATAGACTACTTCAATTTTGTGTGGCCCTTCGTGGCCTGATCAGAGAGATCTGTCTGTCTGTTTACTAAATCCTGTGATTAAAGGTGTGTGCCAACACTACCCGGTATCTATGACCAATATGTATGGCTGCTTTGTTATTTTGATCTCTAGTGGTTTTAATAAATCATAAACAATATATCACCACGGGCCTTGTAAAAAATTAGTCCTTGCTTTGAGGGAGGGACAATGAGACCCTACTCTTTACTGTTAAACTGCTGGCTATTACTAGGCTTGCAGAACGGGAGCATTGTCTTCAGTCTTGTGTGATCTCATTGTTAATTCCATCAGGTTCCAATGGGTAGTTCTAAATCTGTGGTTGCACATATAATCCTGGCTAAACTCAGTGGGTCACACACAATTGCCGATGAAGAAATTTAATTAAAACAATTCTCAAATAAATTATATTAACAAATCCATAGTATCATTGTCAATCTCCTCTGGAATTAGCTCTGAATGCCTTCTGTATCAAAGAACTATTTTAAACATTTTAAATGATTTTTGATAATTTTAATGTCAATAGTGCCACTTAGCATTTTTCAGTTTCTCACTCCACCCTCCAGTTCCTCCTGTGTATCTTTCCATCTCATCTCTCTGTAAAATTGGAACATCTATGAGTGGTAGGATTTCTCATTCAGTTGCTTAACTACTGTCATATTAATAAATTGGAACTGATATTCAGATATAAATATAGCCTTATGTAACTGAAATCAATGTTTCATGAAAAAAAAAAGACTGTAGACAGGCCTTGGTGTCACACGCCTTTAATCCCAGCACTTGGGAGGCAGAGGCTTGCAGATATCCAAAACAATACAGAGAAACCCTGTCTTGAAAAACCACCACCACCAACAACAACAACCGCCCCCCACATCTTCTGAATAATATTATGGTCTTTTAAAATTAATTTTTATTTAAATTAAAAACAATTTTGTTTTACATACCAATTTCAGTTCCCTCTCCCTCTCACATATCCCCCATCACAGCCCCCATTCACTCCTTAGAGAGGGTGAGGCAGTCCTAGGCTGGTCTCCACTTTTCACACTGGGGTCCTTAAGCTCCCACTTGCTCAGGTCAGATGTTTCTCTGGTTTCCTCAGGATGGTCTTGACCCCTTTGCTCCTGCCTCTCTCCTACTGGATTCCAGGAGTTAGGCTCAGTTATTTAGCTGTTCTTCCATCAGCTACAGGGTCAGCATTTAAGGTAGTCATTATAGGGGAAGGGGATTTTTTTTGAGACAGTGTTTCTTTGTAGGTTTGGAGGCTGTCCTGGAACTATCTTTGAAGACCAGGCTGTCCTGGAACTCACAGAGATCTGCCTGCCTCTTGCTGGGATTAAAGGTGTGTGCCACCTCTGCCCCACAGGAGAAGGGAATTTAAGGTAGCTTGTCCACTATCAGATACTTAGTCGGGGTCATCCTTGTGGATCTCTGGTGATGTGATTCGTGACATATTTCTCATTAAACACATGATGGCTCCTTCTATTAAGATATCTAATTTCTTGCTCTCCTTCTCTGTTCTTCCCTCAACTCAAACTTCCTGAACATTCATGTGCTCCTCCCCTCTCTGCTTCTTCCCTCCTGTCTCTCCTCCCTCCCTCTCTCTTCCCTCATGCTCCCAATTTACTCAGGAGACCTTGTCCCTGTCCCCTTTGCCAGGGGCCCATGTATGTTTCTCTTAGGGTTCTCCTTGTTTCCTATCTTCACTGGGGTTGTGTATTATAGGCTGGTTTTCCTTTGCTCTGTGTCCATCATCAACTTATGAGTACTCACAATGTTTTTGTTTCTGTGCCTGGGTTACCACTCTCAGGATGGTTTTTTCTAGTTCCATCCATTTGCCTGTGAATTTCAAGATTTCAGCATTTTTTATTCCCCATTACTCCATTGTGTAAATGGACTACATTTTCTTTATCCATTCTTTAATTGAGGGGTATCTAGGTTGCTTCCAATCTTGCTCTCCCTCCTGGGATCAATGGCCCCTTTGAGATTTTGGGACTGAAAGCATGTGCTATACCACTGGGACTCTCCCTTTTATATACAAATGACTTTCTACTCCTCTGGATGGAGACTTGGACATACAGACTCACTTTTATGTGCATGCAAATATTTAGAACGAACTTGAAGGGATATATAGACACATTGCTTTATGGACAGTTGCCAGAGGATGCTGCTTAGAGATAGTAGAAAGATAATTGCACATACATAATGGTAGATTAAAATATAGACTAATACATACATGGATTTTAATATATTAATGCATAAAATGTTGATACATAAATATTGGAATGTCCAAGACATTAAAAGTAGAAACATGCTTGAAAATCTGTGTGTGTGTGTGTGTGTGTGTGTTTGTCGTTTTCTTTGTTGTTGCTGTTGTTTTGTTTTTTGAGACAGGGTTTCTCTGTGGCTTTGGAGGCTGTCCTGGAACTAGCTCTGAAGACCAGGCTGACCTCGAGCTCACAGAGATCCGTCTGCCTCTGCCTCCCAAGTGCTGGAATTAAAGGTGTGTGCTACCAACACCTGGCTTGTGTTTTTGTGTTTAATTAAGTTGAAAAACACCGGAAGAGTGTAAAAAGGGTCCAAGACATTGCAGACATTCTACTTAATTAGAAAAAGCCAAGAGGACCTGTGCACACTACACATAGATCGCACTGATTGAGAGGCTCTAGAATCAAGGGCACAGTTTTCAAGCAAGCAAAACCTAGAAAGAAAACTAGAGGTGTGGGTACCACTGGAGAATATATTTTGAGACTTACAGGAAGCAAGTGAAAGTGAGTAAGAAGTACTGAATCTGAGGAATAAATGGAGTGTGTGTGTGTGTGTGTGTGTGTGTGACTAAATGTATAAGAGAACAGAAAAAAGCTGTAAGACTTTGCAGACATTCCACATATTCTTGGAAAGATTACAGGCATTTTGGAACCCATCCTTTGATTCAACCTCTTGCGAGACCCTCTTTTGAAGTTCACAGTATTCTTGTATTGAAAACTTGTAGAGAACATCAAATGAGTGAATACTACCTTAAAAAGTATTTTGACCGACTGCCTCCAAAGCAATACAGAGAAACCCTGTCTCGTAAAACTAAAAAA